TTTGTGTGTGTGGAGTTTACCTATCCTGAAAGGTGAACAATGTGAGCTTTATCATTGAACCAAATTATGTCACTGAGGAAATGTTCACGCTTTTCAAGTCGACCGAGGAAACTTGATAGTTTGCCATCGTCTGATCCAAGTTAACTTCACGAGCATGAAAAGGATACTGCCACTGTCGTAGGTGAAGATCTATGATCTTTTTGATTCCCTATAGATTCAAACTGACGGAACATCTCTACCCATGACATCAAAGAAGGCCTTGGGGGCACTTTAGGTTTCTTTCCGTACTTTTTGCGAAACTTACCAAATGTCGAGGTGATGAATTGGAGGAAAGGTAACGCTCAATATGAAAAAGCCCTCTGCCTTCTGCCAACCTTAACTATACTGTTCTCAGCAGGGAAAGGAATCTTGAGAAAATCAATATCTACAAACTTTCTGTTGACTTGTTAGACTACTGTAGTGTGCAATATGGCGCGATCGTTGCGAATTTTAGTGGCAGGCCTAATGCGAACTGGTGTGTCATGTTGCACAAGTGGGAACAAGGCAAACGTTTGGTTGCTTTCCTTTGCACTATAGATCTATAAAGCAAAACTCTTTTGTGGAACTATTGAAAACGATTATTAGACACATTCCTTTGGCTGCCAAACATTGTTTCAAATTTGAAACATAAACTGCCAGTGTGGAGAAGAATATTTACCCCCCCAAAAATGGTAAAGTTTTTTTTAGACCACACGGTACCTTGGAAGCATGTTCACAGCAGACAGAAAATATGGACAGAATACTTGAAACAAGCTTATAAAAGGCAAATGCGGTCACATTCCAACTAACACTCGTCCCGTCCAACCAAAACATTCCCTTGGAGACAAAGAACCTACTATTAGATCAGTCTGTTTACCAACTCTCTGTTACCAATGCTAAACACGGACTCTCAACATTGTTCAGCAAAATAGAAAAACAGCGTGTGCAATGAAACGTCCTAAAAAATCATTACGCATCAAACGAAGAAACAGAAATACAATGAAACGAAGACAGCAGACAACAGGTAGGTGCTGAATCGAGCAAACCAGGATTTGAGAGAAAACAAATAAGGTGGCTTGGACATGCATGCACACACGCACACAAGCACACGCACACGCACACGCACACACACACACACACAAACATGCACGCACACACACACACACACACACACACGCACGGGACAACATCACAGCTATCAAAGCCCTGCACTATAAGAGCCGATTCCCGATTCGTTTAAGCAAAACCACCCAACAATGTAAACCCCACCCCCTTCTGCGTTTTACTAGATTTGGGACCAGCGTAGATTCTATATCAACTAGAAGAGCTTCGTGCAGATTTTCAGCATCAACATATTAGTATTATGTCAGACTCTCAAATGGGGCTCTCGTGGCCTAGAGGTTAAGGTGTTGGCCTCTCTTTCAAAGTTCCTGGGTTCGAATCCGGGTAGCGACCGAAAAATTTTCTTCTCTCAAATTCTCTTTTTTCACCTCCTTTCCTTCTCTATAGCAATGTTCTGTCGTCTGCTTTCGTCTCCTCTTTCTGCTTCTACCCCCTCACCTCATATGCCCCCTCCTCTGGGCTCTTGACTCTTTCTGCAGCCTTTCTACTGCTACTCCTTGGCTCATTCTTACTGCTGTCTTTCAGCCACACCCCTAATCTTATGGTAGGAAAGATCTACACCTAGCCTTTTCGGACAAGGCCAAAAAATCTCGGAGGGCCCGTGTGCAAGTTGCACACGTTATAGATCCCTTGGTGATCTAAAATCGCTAACAGTAGGCTTCGGCCGCCACCCGGGGAAATTCAGACTTTCGTACCAACTCAAAATGTTTGGTGTGTCCGGTGCGCTCATACGACCTTATGCAGTTGCGAACGCAGTAAAACACTTACCAAAAAAAATTACTCTCAAATGTAGTTATCTCCCAACAGACGATCTTTGATGGTCTCTCATTTACTTCTTCAAGAGCGGCTTTCTTAACAGATTGCCGAGCATGAAGCGAGTTTACATCGTTGTCTGTCATCGTTGCATGTTTGTGGATGTGCTGTCCTGACAAAATGATGGTTTTCTCAACGTTCATCTCCGCCCTAGCCTTGGATGCCTTCGTGCAGCAACGCCAATTAAAGTGAAAGTTAGCCATTCTGTCGAGCCTGAATTGGAAGTTTTCTATTAAAAGGCCTTCAATGTCCATTTGAGTAGTAAACACTCTAGTCTTTTGTCAGACCATGCCCATGATATTTTGAAAACACTCCATAGGTTGCCAGTGAGAGAGCTCATTGAAATTAAAATTGTGTGCATGGTTTATAGATCTTTACATCAGTGCTCACTAAATGACCTTTCAGAACTTATAGAAATGTACGCACCATCTCGTAATTTAAGATCTTCAACTGACCATCAGCTCTGCATGCCTAGATCTAGAACAATGTTGGGTGAAAGGGCCTTTTCCATCTGTGCCCCAAATCTTTGGAATAATTTGGAATTAGATGTTAAAATGTCTCTTTCAATAGATCAATTAAAATAAAAGTTAAAGACAATGTTTTTCATGAAAGTATATTCATAATGCTGGAACTCTATGTCTGAAATATCTGTCAGTTTTTTGTTCTTTGTTTGTTTGTTTGTTTGTTTTAATTTATGCATGTCGTAGTGGTACTGAGCTTTAGAGCTTTAGAGCTTTTGTGTGCGTGTGTATGTGTGTGTGTGTGTGTGTGTGTGTGTGTGTGTGTGTGTGTATGTGTGTGTGTGTGTGTGTGTGTGTCTGTTTTGTAAGCGCCACTGGCGAGTTATACATTCATTTAGTGCTCAGTGGAAGAAAGAAATCCTTAAATAACTTTAAAATCTATAAATAAGAGGACCTATTTAAAGGGCAATAGCACATTTTTAAAAACTAATTTCAACGAAATAAAATGAATCCCTGTGGACGTTACGTTTGTCAATGTGAAAGAAATCAACCAACAGGTTAGAACAATATTAAATTTTCAATATTTCAGCCAAAATTGAGTGAAATGCAAAACTTTGCAACTTTTTAAAAAATCAACCGTATATTTGTTCTATTTCAAACAGTGTGAAATGAAGAACAAGTTTATACAAAAATTGATTTTTGGCAAATAAACTTAGGGAGGTGATGTCTATTTAAATGTCCAGGTGTTAAGCATTTCTCTCCCCAGAAAGCTCTAGATCTATTATGCCACATGAAATTTGAATAACCACGTGGTATGTTTCTGGGTCGATTCCTTGGACGTCATACTCAACATTGGGTGGTAACTCGTCGATTATTTGTATAATATATCATGATAAATCATCTGTATTCTTTCGATTTCTCTTAATTAAGTCCTTTTCTGTCTGGTTGCACAAATAGCTAGGTGGGATACAATTTCTAAGCAAAAAGACGGAGATACTTGATAAAATAGAATCCTTCC